CGGGCGGCCATTTTGGCCCCGCCGGACAGCTGATGGCAGCCATTTTGGCACCCTTGTTGTGCGAGGGGAGGGCGTGAAAATGGCTGCCGGCCCCTGGGAAACATCGCACTACGGTGAGTATTCTATGGCATTGGAACGCATTAAACGCTGTTTAATGCGTTCCAATGCCTTTTGATGTTCCGTAGTGCGATGTTTCCCACAGCGAAGGTTAATCCGGAACGGATTAACCTCGCTGTGCGGGGCACCACTGTAGTAGTTTGTGGAAGCCAGTTTAAAGATGATATAAAGCAACATGTGGTTTAAATCAATATCTTTTCAAATGGGTATTTTGTAAATTAGTGATAGACATCTATTAAACAAAACAAATACACAAAGTGGAGACTTTAAATAAAATATTTTAAATAGTAGGACAAATAACATATTTTAAGTGTTTAGTGTTTTTCAGTGTCTTCTGTGAGCAGCAGACTGCACCAGGTTCATCATGTATTGTAAAAATGTTTTATAGCTTTCACCTCGATATGATTCACACGGAGGACATTCATTGTCCTTTGTTGCATCTCCTGCAGCTCCTTTCTGCAATGAAAAATTTACAAAACTTGTAATTATTAGTCTAATTTAAAATTACTTATCAGTTCTAAAGATGGAAGAGGATTATGTCATAATCTAAGACTTACTCTAAATAGGTAACATAAGAATACAAAAAAGATTTTATAATCTGGTGACAGCATGTCAATCTCCCCCAGTAGCCTGCATAACAGTATGTGCATTTTATCTCCTAGCTTAATGAAGGCTTCTATAAATAATTGAAAGCACTGAGAGTGGTCAATCGACTAGATAGGCGGGATATAAATTAAATAAATAAATAAATAAATTATGGAAGAGTCTTGTATGTTTTTGTGGATTCTTGATCTTGGAATCTTAAAAAAAATCAGATCAGTCACTTCAGGCTGAAAGTGCAACCACGCAGCAGGAAACATGCAAGTAGATGTGCTGTGAAGTTGCACCCAAAATATTGGATTTCCCCCTTTTAATTCACTTCAGTCATCCACAGTGGAGTCAGCTGAGAGGGGAGGAAATCAACCTGTTTCACAGCTTGTTAACTGTTTGAATCCTCCCATCACCTCGTTCCTGGAGCTGCTTGTTTTCCTCTTCCCTTCCCTTCCTCTTTTCTTTTAAGGCTTGCTATCTTAGTGCTCGAGCTAAATGACTGAAGAGGAAAAAAGGTCAAGGAAGTGGAAGAGTGGCAGAAGGAAGTTTTCAGTTAGCCTTATTTTCAGTTTTTGAAGGTAGCTCTGCTCTGGCCATCCAGATTTGTAATAGAGCAGAGCTACCTTAAAACTTACTTTTTTCTCTCTGACAATTCCTTGTTATTCCCCCTCCCTTCATTGCCTTAGTGCTAACTTAGCAAGCCTTCAAAAGAATAAGAAAGAAAGAAACTGAATGGGAAGGAAAGATGAGAGCAGACACAGGCACCAGGTGTGGGGAGAATGGAATATCACCTACTTTCACAATTATCCTTCCTTTCTAATTGCTGCTGTAGCTAACTAGAATGGCTTCAAACAGAATGGCTACAAACCTTTACACATCGGTTTAAATGATCACACTTTCTGAACCAATGCAAATGCATTCAGTTCCAAAAAAGTAGGAGCTCCAGTGCTGGAGGAAAAAGTTATGGATTAGGGAGGAAAGCTCGGTTGATTCACATTTACTTTAATGTCATGTCGTCAATGAAAAATAATGTGAATCTAACCACTCCAATCTCAAAAGTATTTTCCCCATTATATATCAATGTAGCGGCACCAGGCACTTCTGTCCCTACCTTCCTGCATGTTTAGTGGGCTAACAAGAGCTACCATGACTTGTCCTAGTTCAACCCCACTATAAAGTGCCAGACCAGTGAGTAAAGGGGATGGAAGGAGGGCCTCTAGAAGGAAACAGGATGTCTATTGCACCAAGTCAACAGCATAAGAGCAGGTTTAGCATAGTGACATCTAAGCAATATGA